TCTTTTTCCACTGCCCGGCGACCCGCTCCTCCGTCGTCCCCTGCTCATACCTCTTCTTCACCTCCTCTTTCTTATCGCTTCTTCCGTCACGAGCTGATCCGCATCAAGACTGACCTCCACGTCGCCCCGCTTCTCCTCTTCCTGCTCTCTTCATCCTCCCTCCCCAGCACCGGCAGCCCGGCCCCGTGTCTCCCCAAGTCGTACGTCTTATCCGAGCCAAAGAAGCCCTCCAACTCTCGTTTGCCTCTCTGGGATGACGGTATACGCCGACCGTGGGTGTTCCTCCGTTTCGTAGCCCCTGCGGGACTGTTTCCGGAGATCGAATTCACCTCCCATGCTGGATTCAATACCAGAGGCGTCAGGGTGGAGTGTGCTGGCGTATCCGCCCGGAGTTTCGAGGCCGGTGGAAGTTTCGATCCCACCGGCCGGGATGTGGTCTCCGTCTTCCTCGTCCGAGTCTTCTTCTTCTTCGGATTCTTCCTCTTCCGACTCTTCGGCGGGGGGTTGGAGTTCTCCCCAAAGTGTGCGGTCAATTGGTTCCGCCGGGGTGATGTACGCTGCTGCTGCTGCTGCGGGCTGGCCTGGTTGAGCTGGTGCGCCCGTGGGGTACCCTGGCTGTCCCGGGACCATGAGGCCAAAAATATCGCCTCCGTAGAGGGGACGGTTGTATTCGTCTAGTGGGGGTTTGCCCCATTGACCAGGCTGGAAGCCCCAAGAAGCTCCTGGTGGGAGAGGGGCGTTCAAGCCCGGGATTTTGAGGGTTGGGTAAGACGGGGGAGGACCGATGCGTTGTTGCTGGAGGAGCCACGGGGGAGGAAAGCCTGGTTGCATCCCTAGAGCATCCCGGAGTCCTTCGCTGAGTTCACCAGCCTTAAAGATCTTGTAGTCGGCCTCCCACTCTTTGCCTTCGTAGTAGACGTCACCGAATCGAGTCAGGTCTGGCTTGGTCTGGTGGCGGAAGAAGGCATCGTAGAGCTTTTGGTAGTCAATGTCGAGCTTGCCCATCTTGGGCTGTACTCTCTCTCGCTGCTTCTGCTTGAGGGTTTGCTCGGCCTGCTTCTCCAAAACCGCATCTCGCATCTCGGTGATGCCCGTCTCGGCGATGAACTGGGGGAGCTTGAACGGCGGCTTCTCGATGCCACGCTTGCTGGAGAGGTACTCACGCTTCAACGACCAATGCCCAGGCACAGGAACAATATTGCGCTGCGCCTTGATTTGGACCAACAAACGTGGATCTGACGACGAGACATCGTTCCATTCCACCACCTCTGGGGTCCGCACGAGAGCCTTGAGCTCTGCGATGGAGAGCTTGTTGAGCTTTTTGCGCTTCTTCTTGGACATCTTTGGTTGCGCGTCTTCGTCTTCGCTGGGAATCTCGTCGTCCTGGTCAAAGAAGACCTCGCCCTTGTTGCCTGCGTTGGCCTCTTTTGCTACCTCGTCGTCATCGTCCAGGCTCATGCCGTACTTTTCGAATGCTTTCTTGAAATCGGCGTAGGCGGGGTCGTCCAATGGGATTTCGTCGATGATGGGACCATCGGCGTCCATTTTTGTGTCTTCATCGCCATCCTTCTTGACTTCGAGATCGGCGACGGGTGTTTGGTCGTCTGGTATAGATCCGTTTTCCCTTGGGGTGTCATCCTTGGTATCTTCTGGGGCTTTTGAGCCGTTCTGGGAGAAATAGTTAGAAATTGGGATTGTGTTGTGAACTGATGGATAGAAAACAGTACTGACCTCGACCTGTGCCTTTTTCTGCTCCTTCTTCTTCGCCCGGCGCATTTGGTTCTTGGTCATTTTTGGGGCCGCCATCTTGGACAGCTGTGAGCCGTCGGCTCTTGTTCGTCAGGGGAAAAAACTTGATGATGTACTCGTGATGCGACTCGGATTTGGGCCGTGATATGATGATATTGCTGTCGTAAAAGCAGTCGGGGGTGGTGATGATGGCCGGCGGGTGGAGTTTGACGCGCTATCAACGTCCTCGATTCATCAACGTCCAGCAATCAATCGCCATGCGGCGCGCCCCAAACTTTTGAGAAAGAGGCAGGTCTTGGCTTGGCGGTGGCTGTTTGGGAGTGAACAAGGTGTGGCTGGTGCGCTCCGAAGGCTGGATGGAGACCCCCCCTGCAGCGCGTGCTGCTTCTGTGACAGCGATTGGAAGCGCCAAGAGAGCTTAATTGGCGGGATTCAAAACCGCCGCGCGCTGCATACATAGGTTGCCAATTGCCATCGACTCGAATTCTATGTGATTGGTGATTGCTTCAGGCTATCAAACACAACTCTCTCTCATTTTCCTGCCTCTGCTGCTTGTCAACCGAGTTTGCCATGATTACTTGAAACTAGTTGATTTTCAACAACACACTCGTTTGATTGATTGACTTTTTTTTTTTTTTTTTAACTTGCTTGTGACGTCTGTCAAGCCAAGTCCTGTACTTCCCACTCGCTTACGCCAACATCCCACGCCAACTGTCCAAGGATCCCGAGTACAGATATCGCTATAGATACGACTGAACAAAGTCCTTCTCTGTTCATACCTACACCAGATACATGTGCGCGATGCCACACTCGACCTCGCACATGCGGGCACCGTCGCAGAACCGACTGTCCAACGCAAACGGTAGCCCGGCGCACAACGGTACAGAAAAGTTCCCCGACTTTGATGCCGCCCACGTTTTCGATTCGAGCGCGCCGAATGGAGGAGGAAGGCAGCAGCAACAGAATGGATACGGATACAGCAGGGAAAGTGCTACGCAACAACAACCAGAGCAACGTTGGCACACCCACGCTCACGCCCGCCGCGACAGCAGAGTAAAATGGGCTCCCGGCGCCGCCTCCTCTCACGCATACGGCCATGCCAGGAAAAGGAGTAGCATCAGCACTGCCATCCACCGCATGCGCTCCGGGAGTATGAGCCAAAACGCCCACGAGATAGCCGACGCCCTCCGCGCTCCAGTATCATGGAAGCTCATTGTATGTCCAATGTCCCCTGTGTCCTCTTTTCCAGCTTGTGCCACCATGCTGATATGTCTTGTTGCCTGCTGTGTAGTCACTATGCATAATGTGGTACTGGTCCTCCGCCCTGACCAACACCTCCTCCAAGTCCATCCTCACGGCCTTTGACAAGCCCGCGACCCTTACCATCGTCCAATTCGGCTTTGTATCTTCCTACTGCCTCATCCTGTCAGGGCTCGCCTCCAAGTTCCCCAGATTACGAACCCTCATCCCAGCTCTCAAACATCCCATCCGATACCCATCCCGGGATGTAATCCGAACCACCCTCCCCCTGGCTGTCTTCCAAATCGGCGGCCATCTCCTCTCCTCCACCGCGACATCCAAGATTCCCGTCTCGCTAGTCCACACAATCAAGGGCCTCTCCCCGTTATTCACCGTCCTAGCCTACCGCTTCATCTTCGACATCCGCTACCCCCGCGCGACATACATCTCGCTCATCCCTCTCACCATTGGAGTCATGCTCGCCTGCTCCAGCAACAAGAGCCAATTCGGCGGCCAATTCCTCGGCATCCTCTACGCCCTCCTCGCAACCATCATATTCGTCACACAAAACATCTTTTCCAAGCGCTTGTTCAACGAAGCCGCCCGAGCGGAAGCAGAAGGGTTAGGAGTCCAGTCCAAGAAACTGGACAAGCTCAATCTCCTCTGCTACTCCTCAGGCATGGCCTTCATCTGCACCCTCCCCATCTGGTTCTGGTCGGAAGGGTTCCACATCCTCACTGATTTTTTGTATGATGGTTCAGTCGACTTGACGGTCTCACCAAACAGCTTTGATCACGGACGGTTGACGGTCGAGTACATTTTCAACGGAACTTTTCACTTTGGACAGAATATCCTCGCGTTTGTGTTGTTGTCTACTGTGTCCCCGGTTACGTACTCGGTGGCTAGCTTGTTGAAGAGGGTGTTTGTCATTTTCATCACGCTGATTTGGTTCAGGAACCCGACGACGAGGGTGCAGGCTGTGGGGATTGGGCTGACGTTTTTGGGGTTGTGGATGTACGACCGGAGCAGTGAGAGGAATAAGGCGGATGCGAAGGCGAGGAGGTTGACGGGGGATAATTTGAAGGGGGTGGAGGGGGGGATTTTGCCTTTGAGTGTGAAGCATAATGGTGGCATCACGGCGTCGCCGCAAGAGATGAATGGGGTTTTTGGGAGGGGTGGGTATGGGTATACGAATGGGAGGGTGTCGTCTCCTAACCTCGTGCCGCCGGCTTCGAACAGCGGGGTGGGGGTTGTTGTCAATGGCGACAGTAAGAAGTCGGATGATTATGTTGCTGGGGGGAATGGGGGGAAGGGGAGGAACAGGGGGGCGAGTAATGCGGCCGCTGCCTGGCTGGCTCCTGGGACTAGGGCGGAGGAGACATGGCGGGCGGGGGATGGGGGGACGAATGGTGGTGGTGTTGAGGGGAGTTTGGTCGCTGCGAGGTAATGAAGATGATTAAGGGTTATGATGATGGGATGGGAATGGTTTTCTCGGCTCTTTTTTTTTTTCTTTTTTTTTTTGGATTCATGATTGGGGTTGTAGAATTATTGTAGTCTTTTTTAGTAGCATTCATGTTTTTTTGTTGTTCAGGTTCATGTATCTCTGGGGAATCTGTGCTTGAATTGCTGTTCCGGAAAATGGACGTTGGGTTTGAACGAGGTAAGAAAGCTTGACGGAGCTGTGTGCATCAGGGGTAGGTAAACCAATCTTATAACCAGGGTCGAACAAACACCGTGAGATCGAGTGTAGTCGTGTTATTTACAATTCCGCTGAATTGCAATATATACAAAGTTTCCCAATCCAATGCAGCAAATTGTATATATATACTTTTCAAACTTTTCCGCTTTCCCCCTGATTCGTTTGCCGTACCCTATGCCACCGTTCCCCCCATTTATTTATACCCTTTCTTGTTACAGCTATTCATACAGTCACCCCCTCGATTTTGTCTTGTTCAAATCAACCAACCCCCTGATCTAAACCCCAGTAACAACCTGCCTAACCCTAACCTCCTCCGTCCCCACCACCTTCCCATCCCCCACAACCTCAAACCCCATCCCCCTCTTCTTTTTCTTCCTCCTCCCCGAATCCCCATACTGCTCATCAAACTTCCTAATCGCCTTCAGACTATCCATATCCTCCGAAATACTCGCGCTAATCTCCCTCAGCCCCTTCTCAAAGTGCTTCCTCGTCAGCACCCTCTTCTCCGGATACTCATAAACCTCCTCCACTCCCCCCTCCCGCACCCTCTTCTCGGGAAACACTGAAACCTCCTCCACTTCCCCCTCCGCCTTCTCCCCTTCCGGTAGCTTAGCAGCCCGTTCCCTCTCCCAAGCCTCCTTATCCCTCACCTCCTGCCTCACCGCCTCCATCGCCGCCGACACACACAGATTCTTCAGGTCAGAGCCGGAATACAAATCCGTCTCCTTCGCCAGTTGGGCCAGGTCGACATCCTCTGCGAGTACCTCCTCCTTTAGCATAACCCCCAGGATCTTCTCCCTCTCCGGGCCGAGGGGCAGGTCAACTAGTATCTTCCTCGGCAGCCGCCGCAAGACCGCCTCGTCGAGGTCAAAGGGGCGGTTGGTGGCCACCATTATGAAGGCGCGCATGTCAGACATTCCGTCCCATTCTCGAAGAAACTGCGTGATTGTTTCCCGGTGGGCGGTTCGACCAGGTGTGTTATGCCTCGCACCCAACAAGGCGTCGGCTTCGTCAAGGAAGATGACCATGGGGGCTAACTTGCGAGCGAGAGAAAAGATCGCACGGACGTTCTTCTCTGATTGACCCAGCCACATGTCGTTGATGGACGCGGCGGAGACCTCGAGCATGTTTGCGCCCGATTCTTTGGCTACCGCTTTGGCGAGGAGGGTCTTGCCTGTTCCCGGGGGGCCGTAGAGCAAGCAACCCGGGATGCGCTCAGTCTTGAGCACGCCATAAGTAAAAGCTTCTGGGCGGGTGAGGGAAAGGGAGGTGAGTCCGATGAGGGATTCTTTTGTCTCTTGGGGGACGATGATGTTGTCAAACGTTGTGTGGATGTCCTCCGCGTTGATCAGGCCAGAGGCGAGCTTCTTCTCGTGCTGGTCGAGGTCCTTGGACAAGAGACCGCCCGGAAGAGTCCCTGATGGGCCGTTGGACTGCTGCCCAAACTCGTCTGGGGGACCCCCAGAGAAGAAATTGGGCATTTGAGGCGACCGTGGTGTGAAGAGTGGCGAGTAGTAAGGTGGCTTGACGGCAGGGACAATCTTTTTCCAATGCTCATCCCTTTCAGACATAAAGTCTAAGACATGCTTCAGATGATCGAACGAAAAGCGCTTGAGACCCGGCTTCCTGACCCCAACGAGCAAGGTGGCGACCCGGTATACCCACTGGGCATCAAAAACATGCTGTTTAAGCAGGTTCACAAGCCTCTTGTCCTTCTCGGTCCCTGTACAGTTCATGTATAACAAAGGCTCGTTCCGGAGTAATTGCCTGTGGAAGATGACATCGGCATCAGCACCCATCATGGCTTGCACCATCTCCCCGATGTTCATCAAGTTGTCCAGCACATTCTCCGAAGCTCCCTCCTCGTGTTGATGCTCGTGAGAATAAAACGGAATGATATGCGTCCCCTCACGGCCAATCTCTGCAATTTGATCCCGCCACTGCCCCCCCGAGTTCTTCAACTCGCTCGCCGAAGAAGCCACAATCACCGCCCTCCTCCCATTATGCCACATCCGATCAACAATCGTCCTGATCTTGTTCAGAAGCGAGCTCTGCAGCGCCCCAATCTCGACATAATCATGAATATGCACAATCAGATCCCTCTGCTCCGTCTCCCCACCTCTCATCCCCCGTTTGACATCCGCCGCCTCGATCAACGCACTCAGCGCATTCGTAAGCTTGAGATCATCCCACTTCCCATCCAGTCCCATCCCCGCCGTGCTCTCCCCCCTCGAAGAAAAATACGACCTCAACCTTGAAGGCAAAGCAACAGCCACCATCCCCGCCATCCCCCCTTCCTCCCCTTCCGCATCCGCCCTCGCCACAGTCCTCCCGTTCATCTCCGCGGCCGCATACCCCAGCATCGACAACGACCCCCGGTTCAGATACAAATTCTGCCCCATATGCTTCCCCAGCATCCTCCCCAGGTCCATCGCACTCAGGTGCACCACATCCGCCGCGAGCTCAGTCGCAATATCATCCACCACCTCCATCGGAACCGCCATCCCCTTACGATTCAAAACCGTGAAAAGCTGCACCGGCCTCCGCGCCTCACTTTTCATCCCGCCCATCCCCGGCGGCGGCGGGGTATGCAACTGCGACCTCACCGCCGCAAGCAACTCCCTGCAAACAGAATACTCCGGCTCGGGCTTTTTAGACAACGGACTCTCAAACAATAAACTTTTCACCGTCTCCCCCCCATGCGTCTCAAGATACTCCCCCGCCTCCTTCTGCAACCTCCCCTCCTCCCAGCTCACAAGCCGTTCATACTGATCCGTCACCAACTCCCTCAGCTCCCTCACATCAAGCACCTTCTCGGGCGTATCCGTCGGCTTATGCCCCAAGGCAACCACCTGCAAGAAGGCGGCATTGTACACCCTCTGAAACCTCCCCACCAGCCTATCCAGCACCTCCTTATCCCCCGCCAGTTCCACAATCCTTGACTTGTAGTACTCGGCTGCTTTCTCCGACAAGGCCTGCTCGTTGATCTCAGCTTCTGTTTCGGACAGTATGCGCTCTTGGTCCTCGCTTAGGAGGGGGAAGAGTAGCGTGTCGAGGGATCCGAGGGGGCGGTCTTCATAAAGTGAGACATTGTTCTCGAGGAAGAACTCGTCTGGTTCGAGCTGGGGGATTTCCTCGACGCGGGGGATGCGGTTTGCGCGGGCGCGAGCGGAGCCATACCCGGAGGTGCGGAGTTGGGCTCTTTTGGCGGCTGCGGCGATAGCTGCTGCGGAGGAGGTTTCTGGCGCAGGGGCGGGCTCAGTTTCGGTAGGTTTGTTGTTTTCGGGTTGTTGCTCGGGTTTGTTCTTGTCGTTGGTGGTGTCGTTCTTGGGGGGGTTCTCCTCTGTTGCTGCTGGAGGAGGGTTGTTCTCTCCATCTTCGGGCCTGGCGAGAGAAGAAGGGGAGGTATGGAACCCCCTCTTTACTGTCCGATGTAGTAACGCTCCATGATGCTGGATGTGAAATGCGGAGGCGGCGGCAACGCGGGGCAGTACTTGTCGACTTGGAGCAGCAACACCAGCCTTTGCCGACAGCAGGGCTCTCGCCCCGGCGACAGGCATGGGAGGCGGGAAAAGTTATTTAAAAAAAAAAAAAAAAGAAGAAAAAAAGGAAAGTCTTAGTTGACCCTCGGTGCAGACGTCATGCGGTTCGGGCAGAAAGAATAGTCGATGTAAAAAGGTCCAATTGGGCTTGATATCGTGCTATATTGGCGGCCGGGTTAACTGGTGGCTAACCGTTATACACCAGAAAAACTAGTGGCTATATCGAGGCGAGTGCCGTTGAGGGAAAATGGATTGTTCCTAACGGCGGATATCTGAACTGCTGCTGTAGAGAAGGCTCCGGCAGGTGGTGGTTGATGTCAAAATTGGCCGTTGCCAGCCGCGAGAGCTTTTGTCTTTTCGGATGGTGGGGCAAATGCCAAGAGTTCTATCTGTACCCAGATTCCTTTCCGGAATAACATCAATTGGCCTCGTGGCGCAACGGTAGCGCGTTCGACTCCAGATCGAAAGGTTATCCGTTCAAATCGGGTCGGGGTCATCTTTTTCATGCAGACAGTCATCCGTCTAGCAATGCTTTTTGCTATTCATTGCCTATATCTCAACTAAATACACATTGGCATCTGCAACAGCCTCAAATCATCAATATGTCCAAGCACACATTACCACTACCAGACATATTCATACTCTCCTACCCGAATGCCGAACAAATACTTACGGTGAAAAATAAACCAGCCCTCTCATGACAAGAACCCATCTATAAGACAACGCCATTGTGCCCCTTTGCCCTCAAGAAACGATGCCTGCTATGCAATATCCAGTCCAGTAATACACAACCCCCAAGCAAATCATCAATCTGAACAAAAGAGGAGACCTCCTGTTTTAGTGGCCAACATCTATCTCACTGGTTATCCCCCTCCGGCCCAGGCTTGTCATGTCGTGAATACATCCTCCACTCAAGCAGACTCTTGAAGTCAATCTTGCCCTGCTCGACCTGCTTTCGTGTCGCTGACAACAATGGCTGAGGGAGGCCCATGGACTCGAGGAATTTCACAGCTGTTCACACATGTTAGCAACCATATCAATAGACCCCTTATTCTGGAAGACTTACTCTCTCTCCATTCAAGATCCATTCTCTTCTTGCTCCACCCCAGCTCATCAGCCATGATGTCAATGATCTTCGGCAGCGCCTCCAGTGAAGCTTGAGCGTTCAAGAAGGCCAGCCTCATCCTCCTCGCCAGCACATCCACCGCCGTCTGCGCAAACTCGTGACGAACAGCGTACCTCACCTCGCCATCCACAAAAGGATACAACTGTGAGATCCTTTCTCCCCTCGCCGGGAATCTCTTGTCCGTCGGTCGGCACAGCGAAGCGACTGTCCAGGCTCTGTCACCATAGCTTTCCGTCAGGTGCTTGGCCACCTCTGTTTCGACGCCAAAGTGCTGAATCAAGTGGATGAACAATGTTCGTGACCAGCCGTGGGCACCAACGAGCCTCACCCGGTGGGTCTGGCAAGTCCCATCAAGTGTAGCATCATCTGTGACATGCTCCGTCCCGCTGATCATCGGGGGGTTCGTGATAGGCTTTGGCTTCAGCCCAAATTCCCTTATCGCCGCGTCCACACACTCCTCGGCCATCTGTCGATATGTCGTCCACTTTCCGCCGGCGCAAGTCACAAGCCCGCTCTCACTGATGTCAATGAGATGATTCCTCACCAGCGACTCCGTGTTCTTCGCCTTGGGGTCCTTCACCAACGGCCTCAGCCCAGACCAAGCAGCCAAAACATCCCCCCTCCTCACATTGATATCCGGCGAGAGGTAATGACTAACCTCGTTCAAAATCCACTGAATCGACTTTTCATCCGGCAACGGATCCTTGGTAATCTGCGCCGGCTCGTCCGTCGTTCCAGCAATCGTATTCCCCTGCCACGGCAAGAAGAAAATAACCCTCCCGTCCGACGTCGACGGATCAATCAACCCCATCTTCCCCGGCGAATAATACCCCGGCAAGATGATATGCACCCCCGACGCCGGCGCCACGATCTCCTTACACCCAGGATCATCCATCTTCCTTATCCCATCCGTAAACGGCCCCGTACAGTTGATAACACACTTGGCCCTAATATTAAACCTCTCCCCTTGCTTCCCATCCCGCTCCCCAATATTATCCACCACCTCCGCCCCCCTCAACCTCCCATCCTCCCCCTTCAACAACCCCTTCACCTCCAAATGGTTCACCACCGTCGCCCCATACAACCCAGCCGTAACCCCGATACTCACATTCATCCTACTATCATTATGCGCCCCATCATAATAAACCAACGCCCCAATCAACCCCTCCTGCTTCAACATCGGAAAAGCATCAATAGCCTTCGACCTCGTCAAAAAATAACTACTCTCAATCCCCTCACTCCCCGCCAAAAAATCATAAAACTTGGTCCCCGCCCAATAGTAAGGCACCTTCCACCACCTGTCCAACGGCAGCATAATCGGCAACCACATGCTCAAATGCGGCGCTGTCTGCAAAAAATACGTCCTCTCCTTCAACGCCTCCCTGACAAGCTCATACTGCGCCCAGTCCAAATTCCAAACCGCCTTCTCCAGATACCTCACCCCGCCATGAACAAGCTTTGTACTCTTCGAGCTTGTCCCCGAGGAAAAATCATCCCTTTCAACAACAGCCACTTTTAACCCTCGGGTCGCGGCATCAAGAGCCACGCCTGACCCGGTGGCTCCCGCGCCAATGACGAGAATGTCATACTCTTCTTCCGTGTTGGATCGCTTGAGGTCGTTGATCTGCTCCAGCCTGGACTTTAGTTTTGGAAAACGAGGGAGCTTGAACGTGCCGTCTGCGCCGAAGATGGGGGGTGGCACGACGGGGCCTTCGTAGCCGGGGATGTTGCGAGGTCGGTACATGTAATACAGCGCGCCCGAGGTGGTGGCCAGCAGCGCGAGGGGGTGGAGGGCCCTTTTGGCGCTGCGGGTGAAGCGGGACATTTTTGTCGTTCCGTATGCGCGGCGGGGGGCGATTTAACAAAGAAATAAGGGGATATTTAGGAATTTCGTCCCCGCGAGGAAAAAATAGGTGTAGTGGGAAAAGTTCGTGAAGTTCGGTAGGTATAAGGGGGTAAGGTAGTAAGTAGGAGGCAAGAGTGAGAGAGACAGTTCAGACGACGGCGCCGTCTCCACCAATGACGCAACCAAGATCAACAGGTTCGTCTGTCTGTTTCGTCCTAGGGTAGTCAAAAAGATATTATTCCCTGGCTTTTTAAAAACCCTCAGCAAGAGTTAGTTAGCCCTATGACAAAAAAAAACCCATCATCATCACCAGGACATACCTTTTTTCCCACAGGGCAGTCCCCAATTGTTGCACAAAATCCCAAAAGTTTGTGTAGCCTTTGAACGAGAGCAAGATCAACCACCACCTCTAGCGTCGATCTTAACAAAGAAAGGTTGTTTGCTTCTTCAGCACCAACTCTCAAAAATAAGAAAAAGCCATGTTTATGAGAGACATTTTCTTTTTCTATCTCAAAAAGATCCCGTCTTTTGGCATGTGCAAAAAACAAAAACAACAAAAAGGGTAAACTCCCCTTCCCTTCCCCGGCTTCCCGGAACACCCCCCACGTCTGGTTCGCCAATCGCTGGTTGAATTTCAGCACCGTGGCTTCCGGCAGGGGGGTTAAGTAAATGATTTTTTTCCGCCAATGATCCTCTTGAATTGTCTGAGGCTGGGAAAGGTTACAGATCTTTTTTGACGTGCTGCACCATGTGGTATTCAGCCGGGATGCACGCCCTTGCCGTCGAAGGTGTTAAATGGCATTTTTAACAACCCGAGCCTCTTCTGACTTTTATCAATATTCTGTGGAAATATCCCAGAGAGGGGTTGATGATGATGATGGAGGGGCTGCTGCCGGGTGGCGGTGACCAAGAAAGAGCGCGGGGTTGGTTGGTTCGTGCTTGGAAAGCTATCTCAAAGTGAGTTAGGTAGCTAGCTGGTGGTGTTCAGTGAGCTATCACATGAAAGAAAGCTGTTGCAAAATTGTGTGACCGTCAAAATGGCAATAGTGTCCGCTCACACACACACACACACACGAGGCTACAGTTGCGGTTGTGTAGCTAGGGGATGTAACCCTGAGACACCTATACTCGGGATACGAGCAGATAGGTAGCCATCAGTATGTCTATGGGCAGTTATGGTGCCGTTGTCAATCAAGGTCTACCGACAAACAAGATTACTACTATAGTCCTTGCTATGAACTTAAAGGATGAGATAAACTTACTTGAGCGTATCGTACACAGGGGCAAACATAGATGCCACCTGGCATGCTCTACACCAGCACGACCAGGTATGCAGCAGCTAATATCGAGGCGAAGAATAGCTATCACCCCTCACTCGACATCACGGTTCCCAGTACACTTCCCCGGAGCCTCTCTCAATCCCTTACTCGAGCTCTATCCGAGCCTCAAGCATGTGATATCATGCCATTGGTGTGTGTGGTGGAGAGTGGATCGCCTTTCCCGGACCCGTCAAAATCCGTTGATATGGGCGTCCTTGCTAACTCGCAGCCATGACCTCATCTTCCACAAGGAGCTCATACCCTGCCACGAGAGCAGGGCGAATATGGAATTCTGCAAACATATATTGAGTTGGGTCATCAACAATTTTCGGGGTATGAGATATGAAAACAGACCACCACAGGAAATCCACCGTGAAATAGGAAACGATGTCGCATTGTCAGCATTGTACAGTATTTACACCCCCATCCAGTTTTTAGCACCAGTGAGCTCCAATGCTCCGCCCCCCTTCTCAATATTCTTCTCCCCAGACTCTTCTTCAGAATCGTGATATCCAGGCATATTTGCCCGGTGAGTAGTAGTATTGCGTCTAACGACAAAAGAAACCGGACCTGTTGATTTAAGCCTTTGATGAGGGGGACTGGATGTGGCCCTTGCCCTTGTAGCCCTCGGACGAGATACCGGTCAAGGGGTCGGAGTTTTGAGCCTGGGAGCAGCAATTGTATGTCAGCATATCTGTCCATCCGAGTCCCAAGCCAGTTTGATATTGTACGCACCTTGAGGTACTCGTTTGTCGCCTCCTGCCACTCCTTGGTCATGGTCGCGGGGGCGGGCTTGGCGAAAGCGCGCATGGTGCCGAAGATGGCAGCGCTGACGCCGAGACCGATAACAGTGTAGAGGAAGACCTTCTTGCCCTCACCCTGGGGAGGTTCGGTGCGGGGGCCCCAAGGACCGAAAGCGATCCAGTAGGCTGAGCTCGAGTTAGCTTCTGTCTGGTTCCATGACATATTGGTCGACGATAAGGGCCGAGAGCGGGGATGTGGTGGTGACGGCAGTGCAGCCCAACAAGCTCCTTGAAGCTTCCCAAATTCCCAGCAAGCTTCACATACTGCCGCTTCCCATCCCTATCAATTTTCCCCAGCTGCCCCATAGCTCCAAGCCCCTATCGCGAGAGCTTCATGTGTGTTCGGCGGCGGTGGTATTGATGATGATGAAAGTCTTGGCACCCGCAACTTACCGGCCTTCTTCTCCGCAATGGTAAGCTCAGCCCAGTTACCCTTCATGCGGTCGCGCAGAGACATCCAGAGCTCGGCCTGCTCCGCAGGGGGAATGGCCTCCCATCTCTTCTCGATGTTGGCCAGCGTAGGGTTGGAGATGGCGTGTGTGGTGGCAGCACGGCGGCCGAGGGCCGCGGTAGCCGGGCGGCTGGCGCGCACAAGGGCGTTGCGGACGGCGGAAGACATGGTGATGGTATGTGTGGTATTACGGTCTATTCGAAGAGGTCGGACGGGGCGAGAGTAGGAAGATGGAAATTCGACGCTGGTGGGGAGAGGAGATGGGTCTAATTGGGTAACCGGCGCGGCGTGCGGCCTGGAGCTCCTTCGTCGACGTTGTTTTGTGTGATGTGTGAAGTCATGCACAGACGAGCTTTTTTTCGGGCAGATGGCCTTCCAGTTCGGAATTCGAAGTGGTCTGATTGGGGGCCCTGGTCCTGGACTCCCCGCTTAATTGCAACTAACGGGGCCCTTGGCATTTTCCGCCCCGCCCGAGGAGGGGAATTGACGTAACGAGGTGCCATTTGCACTGTGACGAAATCGATCCACTCAAATTCTGAGAGCTGCTCTTAACAATTTCTGGAGCTAGCAGCTCCAGCCAGCCCGCTAGACATCTCAAGAGGTTGCACGTTGGAACAGAACCTTCTTGTTAACTGAGAGCAAATGATGAGAGGAGGAGCTATTTGTCAAGGAGTATCTGTATAATTTATCATGAGATCTTTCGTGTCTGCCCTTCAGTTATTTCTCAATAAGTGCCCCTCATTGACTCGTTGACTTCTTGTCCTCTTGACTAGCAGTCTTCTTCTGAGCGTCTTGGTTCTCCAAAGTTTTACTATTTAACATGAGCATTGGTCAATCACACAAGTTCTCCTGGTCCCATACCTGAGATATGTTCCGTCTGCTTTCTCCTTGGCTTCTTTCAAGCTCGGGTTGAATGTGTAGTATCCTATTGTTTCTTAGTCCGAAGTTATGCTTTCATCAAATCAGAACGCCCTACCATTTGCTATCCCGAGGGCCACCACCGCAGCGATTGTAAAGAATTTCCCTTGGGCGCCCATGTTGGCAATAAGTTGTGGCTGAGAATTGCTCTTCACCACCACTATGAATGGATCAAGATCGGTTTGGCATGTCAACGGAGTGGCCTCTCGCCAAAAAAACCGGACGGTGTATATGTGAGCGTAATTACGGGCCCAATACGGACTTGTTTCACCGTTTCTGTTGCCAGCCCAAGTGCAAAACGGCACTCATCAACGCGGTGGCCAGTGCTGAGAGCCCCACCGTTGGCATCACGTCGCGTTTTGGGACCAGTTTACGCGTCTCATTCAACATTAATGAACGTGATCCGTGCTTCAGTAACACTTGATGGTTTCCAGGGAGCAGAAGACCATGATGCATCGAATCCTACGGACATGACCATACGAAGCCATGAGAAACTGGAGGGAACTCGGAGAGGTACCAGACTCGGACGACGACAACTTCGATGACGACGACTACAGCGACCTCGAGATTCCTGACCTCGACCTCGGAACTAGTACCTCGACAGACATACCTGCAGATGCAGCAGCGACTACAGCCGTAGCCACCACAACGGTTGAACAACGTGCTGCCCAACCCCAGAAAAATGGTGATATTTGGGACTTTCCAGGCTCCTCGCCGGCCCCCGCGTCGTCTTTTGTTTTCCAAACACAAAAACCATCATCACCGATAGCGAAGCCAGCCCCCAAACCGAAGCCGAAGATTCCAATACCACTTCCTACCGCTCCGAACGATGGAACCTACCGAAGGCTTGAACCAGAGCACTCGCATGAGTCTACCGAGGCCACTACGAATCAACAAGAGTTCTTGGAGGACGAGATATCTACTGGCTATGTCCGAGTGACTACATCGTCCTCTCTTTCGCCGCTTTCTTCGCCTCCGAGCATCCTTTCCAGGACGCCAACCCCACCCGGATCCCCGTTACGGTCCCATGCCGCTCCCAGTTCGCCACAAAACCGCGAAATACCGGCAGATGATGGCGATGAGCTGGCCCGGAGAACTGCTGTTCGGCTGGAGCGCTCTTTGAGACCACGAAAACCTATTCAGCAGCACCCATACATGATTGAAAATGTCCGGTACACAAGTTTCATGAAGTCACATGGCGTAAAACCCATCAGAGTTGAACAGGCGTCCCAATCAGCCCGGAGGGCCGCCGACGAGGATGATTCTCAAGAGCAGGAGTACCAAGCTGAGGAGGACAGTCAGGAGGCCAGTGGACGAGGTCTGCTTCAAGACACCGAAGAAAGCGGCCCCTTATTGTTTGACAATGACAACGATGAACTGGCTCTCTCTCCTTCTACATCAAAACCGTCTCCAGCCCACCACTTGCGGACTAGTAGTCAGCAAACCCCCGGCACACAGACGGACGCCACCAGCCTTTCTAATGATGAGGAATTTCCGCCTCTGGACAGGCTTCAACCAGGCCCGAGGAAAAGGGGTCGGCCACGGAAGCTTAAACGTCAACTCTCCGGCCAGTTGTCTGCCAGGAAAAGGCTGAGGACTGTGCTGGACTCATCTCCTGGATCTTCACCTCAGCGGAGAGTGGTTCCACCTATCATTCTGCCGCCTGTCGTCTATGATGTATCATCGTCTCCTCCAGACATTAACAATAGATCTAGGACCCGTACTCAAGCCCCCGGCTCTCCAATCATGATCAACGAGGATGACGAGGGCGAAGGCAGCGATGCTGAGTCAGTTCGCTCCCGGCACAGCTCTGACAGTGACTCCGATGTGATTCGCGAGACCAGCAAAAGAATTCGCGGGGTTCTTCCAGCCTCGTGGTTGAGGTTGAATCAAGCAAATAATCAGCAGAAACCTGCTCGACAAGCACGACGAAGTCCTGAACCTTTGGTTGAGCAGCCATTCAGGAAGGGCGTGGCACTCCCGAAACCAAGTACTCAAAGTGGACCGCCTGTATCAACACAGTTCCCATTATTCGATGACTCGGATGATTCGGATAGCCCGCCGGCTCAGAGACCTACTTTGACAACGGAAAGGTCCTTGTCAGATACCGAGAATGTGTTGATCATCGAAGATGATGCAGGTTCCGTGATTGAGGAAGATTTTGTCGACTGGATGCTTCCCGGCAACAAGAGGCGATCCGGTTCTTTCAACACGTCCAAAAGGGCAAAGAAACAGAAAAGCACGACTGGAAAGTCTGTTTTCAAAGGGCTTCCTGGTCAACATATGCGGCAGCCCAAAATTACGCAGGCTCTTGGTCCATCGAGATCCTCACCCTCAACATATTCCAAAAAGGCGTCGGCGAAGCGAAGACGGGAAGGAAATGCTACTTCAGCGAAACACAGCACTCGAAAAAGGGCAGCAACACCGCCCTTGCTCAGTATTCTCGATGTTCTAGAACCCGATGCTCCCAAGTTTATCAAGATAGCTGCACGTGCTGTCCGCAAAAGGCCAGACCTCGGAAAGGATAGTCCAACACAGAAGAGTATCCGCTTGGCCAACCGCAGGGACAATGTTGACGCACTGTCAACTCTTCAGGATTGGAAGTCTGGTAAGACAAAGCCTAGGGTTACGGCTCCGGTTGTAAGTCGAGCACCGCGACCGAAGCCCAGGCCAGCCCTGAGAGAAATCTCGAAAAACCCAACACCTAAAAGACCCCCTGCCTCTGGTACCTCTGTTTCTCGCAAGTTGATCAGGCAAAGTGGTTTTGACTCATTCGTCACGGTGGAATCTATTCCAGCACCTCGTGAGCTAGCTCGAACACCCTCCATCTCTCGACCCAAACCGCCACCAAGGAAAAATGTGCCAGATCGCGAGCCACAGTTCCGACCCGCCCAGTTGGAAGAAGATGAAGATGAGGATAAACGACAGCGACTAGCGGCCAGAAAGCGGAAACTTGATGCCTACTACAGAAGAGCTGGGGCTGTGTTGAATCTACCAGCAACGGATGGGCTTGGTGGGGCCTTGGGTGCGGATTTCACACTTCAAGAGCTGGCCCATCAAAGTGAAGATGAGACAACTGTTCCCGAACCTGCTCCTGCATCAGCAAGAACGCCTAAAAAGAGCTCAAAGTCGAGGTATCGGAAAAGGCAACGGCCGCAACAAATCGATACAGAAGCTCCCCAATATACCCTTGCAAATGATCCTTTACCTGCTGCTTTCGCCGTTGTTGAACAGCAACAGCAGCAGCAGCAGCAGATTGATCAGGCGGCGAACAAGCTTCAGGGGTTGGGTCCATATGGCAGTCATTATACCCAGCACTTTGACATCTTCCCGCTTGACATGGGTGTGTTCTTCCATGAGAGCACACTCTTCGGCCGTGGATTTGTCCGAAAAGCAGTCGAGCCTTCACTAGCTGAGAGGATCCGCCACCAAAAGGCCTCCATCTGTTTCGTTTTTGACCAGCAGACGCTCAGGTGGAGCATCTGGAACGATCAGACCTCGTCGGAACTCGGAATATTGGTCGATTGGGTTTCTGACCAGCTGGCAGCTGACCCGGCGGAAGCTGTTTTGGACAGGCAGAAGCCAATTGAGGCAGCTGATTTCATTGTCAGGTACATCTTGGAGTCGATGAGCATTGACGATGAGCTTCGAGAAAAGGCTTTTGTGTCGAGATGTCTGGAAGTATTCAGCAGCTTCGTCACTCGGTGGGGGTCTGTCAACCTGGGCGATGTCCCTGGCCGAAACAAGATCGATAGCGTAGAGGTTGCATCTCGCTTTTGTGTGGCATTGCTCGCGGTGCGCTCGATATCCCGGGCGGGTGTCAACTTGATGCAGGCTATGAATGTTGAGGATCTGCTCAAGAAGTTGGCTTCGGCCACTGTGACGCGTCTTTTGAACCTTGGGTTAGAAGACTTGCGGGACCTATATGGTGACTTACAGCGTCTTTCATTCAGGGAACGCGGTGTCCGATCGGACCGTGTCCTCGTCCATTGTTGGGTGGTGTTGATGAGAGTGCTGGAGAACGCCAATATTCCAAGAAGTGGTTTCTGGGATATTGTCCACGCTGCCCAGCTCAGCAATGGGGCGGCTTCCGGTCAGGATGCGCAAGCCTTTGAGACCCTTTGGCAGGACATGTTTACCTTGCTGCCGCTGACTGAGATTAACGATTCCGGTATTCTCATTTCTGGCATGAGAAAGACAGCCCCTATCGAGGGTTGGCTACTGCCTCGCAAGCTCATGGACCGCGTCTTTGGGCTGTACAAGTCGAACCCTCGACAGCCACCCAGCTTCAACGAGTACTGCCGCGCTCTTGTGGCCAGATGTCACTTCCTGGTTCAGCAATGGGGTTGGCGGAAGTGTACTACTATCATTGGCACAATCTTCGACTTTTTCGGTTCGCAAAATTTGGAGAACCTCAGGAACGAGGAGGTGTACAAGTCTCCACAGTTTTTGGAGGAGCTTGATCGCAGTCCTTCACTCATGATAGAGCCAGAAGACCGGTGCTTTCACATCTTCATCAAGCTGCTGGCCTTGGCTATTCAGAGGCTCAAGCAACTTGAACGGACAAACGATATTAGGAATCTTGTGGCCAGGACGCTGCCGAACCATAACCGACAGTACCTCAAGGAATGCACAATTCACCAGCATGATCTCGCTGCTCTCCGCAACCATCACGATCTCCTCTGCACCCTGTTCTGGGTTGCCCCGCCAGATCTACGGCCGGGTGTCCATCTTATCGAGAAGCTGGTCACTCCAGCAAGCGCTCACAAGGAGGCTTGCTTGATTAATGTTCGGGCCTGGAACCAGCTTGCTCGGTTCGTGATAGCCAAGAATGAAGGCCGTGCAGCATTTGAGCCGTTCAGGTCGTGGCGGAACAACGTGTTCAACCAAATCCTGGACCAGTATCTGTCGGCGGCCTCGGATATTGAGCAGCAATTCCGTGACCTGTCGAGCGAGATGATGGCAGGTATTACAAAAGAGATGAAGGATGAGATGATTGCCAAGAACAAGACTACGGCGTTGGATGTGCTGTTTGTTTGTCTCAAAGCCTCGCTGGATGTTTTGCAGCGGGCTCCTTCGCTGGAGGCAGCGATTTACGGGTTGAATACACGTAAGTTGGTTCGCTTGGTGGCTTCTTTGAGGTCTTGACTGACAGTTTTATCCAGCGCAATTACAAAAAACATTCACGAGCCTCGACTTCCAGTCTCCTGGCGTTGACTGGGGCATTCTGCGTGTGGCTATCGACACCCTCGACCACTTCATGGGCCGTATTGATGAGGCGTCCGAGGAGCACTACTCGAGCGACTTTATGGAAGCAGAGAACGCAGACAGTGGTCACGTCGAGGAGGCTGTGTTGTGGATCAACGAGAACTTGACAAGAGACTTCTTCTGGATGACCCGCACCGTCATGGGCCTCCCTCAACCAAAGTCTTTTGGGAGACAAACAAAACAGGCATCCTGCGTCGAAAAGGTCGTGACCGTTGGGGCAAGGGTTGCTTCCCGGCTCGTCAACAACCGGGTCACACCCCTTTCGGCTTACTTCATCCCTGGGAAACACTCGATGTTTTCCGACCTGCCCAAGAGGTTGAACACCCAGGACAGAAAGTACCTGCCCCTGTTCATCGCCACCCTGCTCAAAAACTCCATCTTTGACTTTAAGGACCTCGGCCTCAGCATGCTAGGGTTATGGGTTCTCTCAGTCCTCAAACCCCACAGGTTCCTCTGCTACGAGAACTACCTCGCCGAGGTCCTCAAGACCCGGGGCTTCCCCTTCCTCGAACGGATCGCCGTCTCGGTCGGTTCCTCGCCAAACTACAACGCCAACCTAGATTACTTTGCCGTTGCAATCCACTACATGCGCAAGACCCTCCGAGAAGCCGGGCTCCAAAAAGCCAAAGAACATCGCGAGGAGTTCTCCAAGATCCTCCAGTTGGCTATGCAAAAAATCAAGGAAGACCTCGCCTTTCTCCGTCTAGACAACAACAACAACAACAACAACAACAACAACAGCCAGCAAGAACACGAGCGGTACATCTCTTTTGTTCGACAGGTGATCTCTCTGATCAAATCCCACGGCGTGGGGATCTGCCCCCCGGATCAGTTTTTTACTCAGCCAAGTCTGGATTACTCGCCTGGCTTGCAGGATCCCCAGTTGCACACCGCCGGTATCATTGCTTATGGTGTGCGGCTAGGAGAGAAGGATTCGACTGCGGTGCCGCAGCTGTTTCATTACCTGTGGAATAATTTCAAGGTTGCCATTGGGAATAACAGGCTTGAGTCGGAGGCGACGATTATCGCCAGGGCAATGACTGAGAATGGGCATGTTCGGTCGTTTATGCTGGAGTTTATGCTACCGGCTGTTGTGCAGGCTGCTTGTCAGGAGGGCAACAGTTGGGTTTTGCTTGAGGTTTATGTCACTGCGCTGGGGGGTATCCTTTTGCCAGAGGGGCCCGGTTGTGCGAGGGAGCTTACGGGTGATGAGGATATTTCTCACGCGATCACACTTTTGGGATCGTTGGTGAAGATTGTCAAGTCGTTATCTAGCCAGACAAGACTTGACCAGCGGCATGTTTTGGCTGTGCTGCTCAGGCTGGCTAATATGCTCAAACCTAGCCTGGTTTGTTACTTGTACAACTCGGCCAACTCAGCTGACGAGTTGGGGGAGGTGATGGAGGAGCTGGATGAAACATTAACAACCCTTACCTCCATGACCACTTCCCCGATGGGCTCAACATCGGTGTCGTCCTTGACAGTTGGGAGTAACCCGAGGGTAGGGATGTTCAGCAAGCAGATCGTCCACGACGTGAGAAGGGACTGGGTGGTGGTGGGGGAGGGGTTTGTGGAGGTGAAGATGGCGGGGTTGGGTGGTAGTGCGTTGGGGAGGACGCTGGGGGGGAGTAGTGGATTTGCTTCTACGCAGGGGACGCAGCAGGGGAATAAACCGCAGGAGAGGAAGGGGGTTGGGTTTGTTCCGTTGGTGGAGGGGGTGGTGGAAAGGAGGGTTAGGGAGGAGGCGGGGAGGTGGTTGAAGGGAGTGGAAAGGGGTAGGGGTAGAGGGAGAGGGTTGGGGTGGGAGGGGGATTTGGTGTTTTAGGGATGGGACGGGGATATATAGAGGTGGGAGAAGGGTATAGAGGGAGTGGAGGTTGGAATTTAGAGAATATATATTACAAGATTACGGATATGGGTTCTTCTCTGAGTTTTATGGCGGGGTTGTGTACTTGAGTGGTGATGTTGGTAAGTATGGGTAGTATACTGACTACTCCGTCTTCTTCGTGACATGGGTAGAGTGGGATGTGTTGGGTGATGAAAGGCAGGCAGTAGGTAGTGGAAGAGACAAAAGTGCGGAATTATCCGGGGAACCAAACTTTATTCGTTTGGGGCTAGATTGTGAGAAGGGAGTGGAAAGAAATAACAACACAGCGAATGGTGTTATTGTAGTCTTTGGAAGTCGAAAAGAGAAAGAGGGTCTGTGAAGGTTAGTAAGAGGGGATAGATAAGCTGCTATATCCTAGTCTAGCAAATTCCTTTTTTTTTTTTTTTTTTTTTTTTTAGTTTATTCACCTCATTTCTGTTCCTTAACTGATGACATACCTACCTGATCGATTTACTATAAGCACATAAAAGCTCTAATCCATAACCGAGGAGCTCAGAACAGTGATGTCTACCTTCTCTATAACCGGACCATGTTTTAGACTCCCGGTACCTAAGTAATAAGTTCCGATGTAAATTATATCATACACCACGCGCCTCTTTCACAATTAGAAAATGCCTGAAGGATAGAAAGATTGCGTATATTGAGCAATTGGATAGGCAGGTAACATAAGATGGGTGAAATTTTGATGTTGATTCTCTCGGTTAAAAGTTAGGAATGGAAACAAAGTGGCCTGCAAAACAAGACTGGTAGATTCGACACCGACTACCTTAGTACCTATGTAGGCAGTCTCAAGAGAGGGCCGGACGATCCCTTGGCAAAGACCTATCTGCTACATCTTCACGTTCTGACGGCCATAGAGTATAACCTACCACTACCAAGTTGAGCCTGTCCCACGAGTTTCAGATAATCCGTAGTCCCCTACTGCCCACGTATCTTCTTCATATTCCTTAGAAATATACCACAAATGCCCGTTCTCTTCGACTCATAGCATCTCGACACCTCACCTTCCAGAAACCCCTTTTGCCCTTTTCCTGATCATGTCACAGCCAGCCAAATCCCCAATAATGACAGCCAAAGACGGACTCCAAGCCATGAGTAGCAGCCACATGTTTCACAAAGGGCCCTCCCAACGCCTTCCCATCCAGCCATCCCACAGCTACTTGCAGGCGTCTTGCATATCGACAGCACCAACACATGCCATCCATCTTCCATCCTGTGGCAACTGGTCTGGCAGGCATACAATCGCCGACCACTGATCCCACACTCGCCCCAATCTCATCCCGCTCCCCATCTCCGCTTATTGCCCCGTCACTGTCGTCGCAGTCGTAACCCCCTTCTAGTAAAGAATCTTGCTCTTCTCACTCGGATCCAGTCGCGCCTGCAATGCAAGATGGTACACGGACACGTTTCAAGTTATCCACCTTTTTTGCTCATCTTCTCCATCTGGCTCCATTGCAAAACTGGCTCACCTTCCAACTAAAAGACCGATGCGAACAAAGGATCATATGAGCTGGACTCGTAACGAACAATGTCAAGACAAGGCAATATGCCCGCTGCTTTCTTCCTCCTCACTTCCTGTTCAACCTTCCCAAAAAACCCAAGCCAAGAGAAATTCCAAGCAAACACCCCCTTGTAATTGTCTACCTATCAGGGTCCTCAATGGCTCCATACAACAAGAGCAACCGCCCATCAAACCGTTACGATCTCGATCCTACCAGACAACAATAATCCGAGCAAAAGAAAAGTTCATCAAGGGCTCTCCGGCTCTGAGTACCAC